TAGTGGAAATAATTTATTTTATTTTATTTATTTTATTTTATCCCTCTCTTGTTTTGGGCCCTCAACAGGCATGCGCCCAATTACAGAGTGACCCGCACAATGCTATTTAGAGGTGCCTCTGCAGAAGGTCTTAAGTTGGTCTATACTACTCCGGTATTTACCTTACGAATTAGGAAAACTGCAGGAAAACCTAATTCGGAGTAGCCGGTAGAATGCTCGGAACTGGTCTAAGGTAATTTCCATCTCCGCCACAGATGAAAAATTCACCTCAACCCAGGTTCGAACACCCGACCTTCGGATTTATAACCCAATGCTCTACCACTGAGCCATAAATCCGATAAGCTCATGCATTTTACATTTAAAACAATCAGAGAGGATGGTTTTTGATGCATCCATTTTAAAGGCGCCCAAGTTTTGAAGATGCTCATAAATTCGACTCTTTTGTACTTACTTTTACTAAAAAGTTGGTGCGCACATGCGTCAACCTAATTTTTAAACACATGAGCATGTTTTTGAAATAACCTCGATGTACTTGTGTTTAACTGCAGTTAAAATATCGTAATATCTTGAAATGAGAAGGTTGTAATACGCTTGCGCAGAAACTGATACATTTGTATTTCCAAAAATTCACGTATTCCCATCAAAATAAAGGCCGACGCGCACATACGCGCGACGCGGTGTAGCGCTTTTTCGCTGATATTGATTTAATACGCCTCGCCGCGCTCCACTCAAATGGGCGTTTGCTTATATGTATTAATCAATGTGAGTGAAAAAGACGCTTCACCGCGCCGCGCGTGAGTGTGCGTTGGCCTTGAAGCGTTTTGACTCCTAATATCGGTATAAACATAACGATTTGACACCTTTTGACTCAAACCCAAGCGGTCATTGATAATGCATGCAATTTACTTCTTGGGCATAAAGTTAAACAGTTTCCAAAAGTTTTTCGAACGACGATATTGACGCATCTTCGTCAAAATATACCTGGAAATATATGGAATTTCAATTCTTGGACATCAAGTTAAATCGTTTCCATGTTCTTCGAACGAAATTAGCTCATAGATAACAATTTTTGACACCCGTCATGATCAACAAGATGGTCTCAAAGTGCTTCCACGTTTCTCGAACGTAATCAGTGCGCATAAATGACGAGGCTGGCACATTTTGGTCAAAACGCATGTGGTCCATTGAAAAGCATGAAATCCACTTCTTGGTACGTTAATCTGAATGTTCACCAGTTTTTCGAACGAAATCAGTGTGTAAAAACCAACTTTTGCAATTGGATATTACACTCATCATAATTCAATCAAAAGCAAAGTTTTGATCGACAACGAATTGTCCGTACAAACAGAAATTCTCAAAACTAATCGTTAACGTTAATTCAAGAAAACTACTTTACAATGTACAAATAAGTAAATTTCTATACAAGAATAATCTTAAGGATGTGAAACGTAATCCAAAGTCAAGGATACTATATAATATAAGGATTGCTCGATCCCTATACTTGTAATGTTGCCCAAGTTTAAGTCATATGTGACGTCACCAACGGACCTGGCTGGTTGTGGACGTATTTGCATGGACGCCAGGACGCCGATGTGCAATATTAGACTGTAACAACAGCCGTGTTTGCACAAAAATCACTAACCCGGAAGTCATTTACCATAACTTCCCTAAAACCGATGGATTAATACGCAAGGAATGGATATGGTGCTGCAAGCGAAATTAATGGACAAGTGTTTCTAATTTAAATGCCTGCCTACAACACCCATTTGAACGTATTTTATGGTAATCCTAAAGGTCGATTCTCATTAGAGCAGCACCGAGCGGCGCGGCGCAGAGCAGCGCGGCGCGTCGCTAGCAGCAAATTGTAGAGGGGTATTCCCACTTAAGCACCATTTGGAAGCGTGACGAAGCAGCGTTTCTGTTTGTGTTCAGTTTAAGGGAGAATGTATTCTTACACGCTCGAAGAAGAGCCATCATCGTTATCATCACCAGATGATTTCATAATATTTATAGCGGCACTATGCCATGTACACGACGAAAAAAGAAGAAAAAGAAAGCGGACGAGTACAATTAATTTTTCTATTCTTTGTCCGTCCATAGCGAATCCACTAACACACGCAAGCTCAACACAGAAGACAAATAAATGCTTTTCACAAGCCGCAGCACCACGCTGATCTGTTTCGCTCCTCGATTCCCACTTGTCCGTCTACACGCAAGCGGCGCGTTTCAAAGCAGCGCCGCGTATTCCAATGCTTCCCGACGCGTTTAAAATTTGCTGCGCGGCACCGCGCCGCTCTGCACCGCTCTGCCTAGGTGAAAACGGATCTACTAATTTACATGCGAATAATTGAGAGCAGCTTTTCACCGTGCCGTGCTGCTCGATGCTGCTATAATGGGAATCGGCCTTAATCAAAGCATGCGCTGGTACTGGGTCCGCGAGTGACGTCACTACACGCGGCGAAAAAATTCAGTGATCGAGCAATCCTTATATTATATAGTATCCTTGATCCAAAGTAATATCTATTATCGTAGTAGGTCTCGTTCAAAAACTATTTTACAAAGCAGAAAAAAATGACTGAATATCTTGGTATAACAAAACTAATCAGAAAGATTAATATGAATGAATCTTACAGAAAGTAAGTGTCGAAAGATGCGTTCTTCATAATGCCACAAAGTAATGTAGATAAATTCAGAAGTATAAAGGCAATTCACAGTAGAAATAATCTCCAAAAGGTATTGCAGTCACCAATCAGAAACAGTAATTTAGGTGTAAATAATTGGTATGTAGGTCACTGGAGCAAATCACGCCATGCCGCCAATCTTAAAATGGCGGGTACCTAAGGACACGATGTCATTCAAATTCTGCGTAATATCAAAGGCGTCGTTGTAGGGTATCGTATCGTATGGGTGGCCCTCCCTAGGTACAGACGTTTTCAGGTCGCATCAACAGCCGTCTGTGTGACTTAACTAGAGTCGTGGTATGACTGCCGGGACCGCCAGCTTTACATGCCCTTCGAAGCATGGTAGTCAGGAGATGTTCTGTACCACTAAAAACTAGCAAGTTGTGGGATTCGAACTCACAAGTGAGGTTAGAGTCCCAGTCTTAAACCGCTGGAGCGTGGAGGTTTTTATAACCTGTCTAGAAAGATGGAACTGTTTACACTGATGCACAGAAAAAATATTCTAGTATATGTTCCGACGAATCCGTGATAAGGGTGCCAATAGCTTATATTTATTCAATTTATCATAGCAATTCGTTCTTTTTTTTAGTGTTCCAAGCAGTTCGATGTTTCGGGGTTGATTTCTAAAGATTCCATATTTACGAATAATGGATTAATATGCTTATTACCTACATCTTTATTATTTATAAAACTATAGGTAAAATTTGTATTGGTACATTTGAGTTCCAAAATGGAAGCTGATTTATAATCTGTGATATTATTAATAACTCATCTGCTTGCGGTTGGTGTCTTTGGGTTTAAATAAATCAAATTAATTTTTCACTTATAATTGCACAAGAGGTTTGTATTTTACCGAGTAAATTTGGGTTGTTTAGGTAATGAAAATCTGTTGCCTAGCAATTAGACGAGAAAAACTGTCAACTAATAAAAATGCGACACCGCAGGTGGAGCATTTTTAGGTTGACAGTTTTTCGAGTTCAATTGCTAAAAGGAAACAGATTTGAATTGGCACAACCCAAATTTACTCGGTTTAAATACAAACCTCGAGTGTAATTCGGCAGGACAATTTAACGAACAAGAAATTCACCAAACTAATCAATTATTGACAGACGTCAAACTAGTCATATGGGAAAGGATAATGCGATAATTGGTTCGAAAATGAATAAGTGAAAAAACCACTAGTGCATTTGTCGCTGGAAAAGTTGCAGGTAACTTTTGCCGCTGTCAAAGTGACAATTTCACTGCGGCTTATGCGATTTTTTATACATGAGTTGAATTGTCCAAATTAAATTTAAATCAACTGTTCTGCATATCTGACGCGACTGAACGTTTCAATTTTATATGAGTTGACTGACAGGCGTCGACCTAGTTGCAATGGAGATGCAGCTAACTAAACTAGAAATGAACGAGTAAGGAAGTGCAGGACTTGTAAATTCAACTGACGTTGAGTTTAGTTAGGTAATGTCTATTTCAATTCACATTGGAGAGTGGTATTGTCTTATGTAGATGTGGTTTAAGTTTAACTAGCCTTTTATCCGCGATTGTCACGTACTAAATTAGACTGGAATAGAATTCTGCCATTGAAGGGTTTTATAGCATAACATTTGTCTCGTCGACAACTTTGGTGAAATAAATACTATTTTCACGCAATTTTACTCCTCTGAAAGAAGTACTAATGTAGTTACGTATGAAAACTGACTAATTGTTGTTTTTTTGTATATCTTTTTGTTCATTTTTTATTTTTAATTGAGGCGGTGTTACTTATACTCAACACTTAACAAACTCAATCAGAGGTTCCTCGGCATCTACCGCGTTTCACCAAGCTGGCCAGAATATTTTTATAATTTTGGCCATTAAAGAATTTGTGTAAACTTAAGTTTAGTTGACAGGGATGTAAATCTCCAAAGGAAATCACCACCATCACTGTAGGTGTCTAAAAGGTTTTGACGTGGAGAACTACAATTGCAACTTGTATGGTTTTTCAATTGAGCTGTCTTTAGCTTCACGCAGCGTAATCTATTTGTAGTATGTACCGAGTGTAATAATATTTTTTGCATATGGCACAACGGTCATTGGCACAAAATTGTTTTTTGTTTGCAACTTTGACTGTAACCTACTCTAAGGGAATGACACAAAATTTTGACTTGTCGAAAAGCGGTCCTTTCATAAACCTGCAAATAACAAGAGCAATGCTTTAAATTTAAAGATTCGTTTTGTGTGCTTGAGAAAATGCCATTTCACACAGCAAGCTGACTGATATTTTTTAACAAATCTCAAAATTTCTTTACAATTCTGATACTCACGTTCATTCTTTTGTAGGCTCCATCATGTTTCACGTCCGAAGAAGACCCGCGGATGGTGGACTGCGAAAAAGAAAAAAGAAACCCGGGTCCTTAGGAAATGCAACAGGCAATAACCGCGATCCACGTTCTGTCGAATCTGGCCCTGTTCTTGTCGAATTGGGTCCAGACGGTTCAACACCACATGTAGGTGATACCTCAAGAACGCTTAGGTTGGCCAACGATGTTATGGAAGTAAGTGAAGGCAGCTTGCTATAATTGTCATTCTTCTGTTTCCCAATGTTAACATCACAAGACAATCCTTGACATCGTAAATAATACAATAGGCATTTAAATCGAAAGAATAGTTTCATTATGAAATAATACGCAATCTAAAATTATACTCTAATTAGGCGATTAGGACCAATGAATGTGCTTTTAGATGATAACAGTGTCAGTATTGAATTTCATTACATTATTTTTGAAGTGCGGTAGCCACTAAGTAAATTTATGTGTTTTACTTATCAGGTCGGATCCGCCAATGGTATCGCTCTGCAATTATATGGGCCTCACATTCAACCTCGCCACGCTGTTATTGCGAACACAGATGGACTCACATCGATTACGCCTTGCCATGCCGATGCACACACATACGTCAACGGTCAACGAATACACCAAACAACTATTCTCAGTCACGGCAGTCTGGTAAAATTTGGGCCGAGCAACACCTACAGGTTTCTTGATCTCTCACAAGAAGGCAGACCCAGGCATCCCTCGATCGTTGACAGCACAAGCATGTACGACAGGTACGATTCAGAGTAGTCTCTGCACTTTTTTGGCTTTTATTTTGTTGATTCGCGAAATTTGCGCTTCTTATTTTTCATTTGCTCGATGTTGTGCAAATCAGGTCGCCGCGCGCACTGAGTCCGACTGATCATCCACGGGAAAATTTTGAAACCACTTTTGATTTAGAAGGCAATGTAGAGACTGTTTCCACAGCGAGCGGTGCGAGAGAAGATAACAGATCTCTAGGGTCCTCATCTGAAAACAGGTTTGTAACATTTTTTTTGCTTGATTTTGCAATTTTTTGTTGATTGTTAGTAATTCTGTAATGAACAATAGTCATGAGACTTTAGCTCCATGTGTTTATTGGATTAAGAAAATGAATCAAATCCTCACTGCCTTTGTGTGTGTCAATCTATAAGTTCGCAAAGTATCATGCAAATTAGAGCCTCCTAAATTCTTACAGGCAAGGGTTAAGTTTTTTTTAGAAACATGGAATATAGCTGGTGGTCCCAGCAGTCATACCACGACTGTCATTAAGTCACACAGGCGGATTGTCTATTGGATACTGAACATGCCGAACCAACTGTATGCTGGGGCAGGAATAATAAAAAGTTGTTCTGGCCAGACCTTGTTTTAATAAATAAGTCATCACTTATTATGCAAGCAGTTATTTATTTTTCACTTTTGTAAGAAACATGGAACTGAGGTTAACTGGCTTCTTACCATATCTGAATAGTTGGCTGGCAGAAGCAACTGGTTCCTGAATTGATCTACCAGATCCTACCAGAGAGAGACTCAGTGCCAGAATGAGGATACTTGTGACCCAAATTAATGCGAGCGGCCCCCGCCCCTAGGTGCAACTTTTTTATGACTGCATGTGGTTAATCTCTCACTGAGTGGATGGTGACCGAGAACTATGCCTCTCTCTTTTTGTTTGCTATGGATCTAACATTAAAATGTACCTACTTTATTAACGAGCGACAGAGCGGGTTCATGTTATCTTGATTATTGTTATCTGCATATTGGTTACGCCAATGATGTTCATTCATGACTTGTTGCTCCTTGTGTTATCAACTCGTTGCATGAACTTACCATTTTTACTTGCCTAAATAATTTACCTGTTATGTATTTTGTAGTAAAGAAATAATGTGGTATTCGTATATCCAAAACTTAATTCGGGTAGATTTATGAAAAGAAAATTTGAGAACTTTGTGCTCAGATAAAGGGTCAATTTTAATATCCCAGCAAGATCAAAATCGATACGATACTTGAATTATATCTTTAATCAATAAATACTGTCAAATGCATCATGTATATGTTTTATGATGCAAATATTCCTAATTGAATATTAAGTCTAAATCCATAGGTACTTATACAATTTGAAAGAATATTCTAGTAATAAATTGAATTAGAATTTGTTTATTTTAACCAATTAGACTCCACATACGAGTACAAATATACCAAGCACTTAATCAAGCAATCAATGCGCGTACACATTTCATTTACCCGAGAAACGGAAACATCCCGCTTAAGTTCGTTTAAAATTTAATTTACAAAATGAAAAATATACTTAGCCACTGTAATGTTTGGTACCGCAAATTCTATATACACTGTAATTCAAAAATACGTATTCATGTACCATCTCATGCCGCACTTGGATCGAACATACCTAACATTTGTAACGGCGTAGTTATATTTACAAAGGTGGAAGACCCCACTTGAATAAAATAAAATTGGACCTCTCTGGCACTGACAAAAATTTTAGTGTGACAGTTAATTTTTTTATTTACCTACGGCTAGATCAGTAAAAAAGTGTTCTTATACCTTTATCTTGAGGAAATTTGATTTGATTGAACTCTAATAAATACGCATACGGCTTTAGTTGGTTAATCAATCAATACCGCAAATTTTTTGTTTGGATTCGATTCTTATTTATAAATACATTACAAAATTTGTTTCATGCGAATAATTTTCACAGCTCGATTCCTTTAGGAATATTAATTGTTTACTACTCAGAATACTCTGATAAATTATGTTCACTAAAAGCACGTTGAGTTTCGACCGAAATAAAATCTCTCGTACACAAAATGGTACGGGGTGATGCGCGAAAATCAACTTTGAATACATTTTCAAGGATAGAAAAATTCACACACAAAACAATATAAATACGTTATTGCTCGCGAATTCGTCTAGAAATGAAATTTTTAACGTACCCAAATGGTATCAAGTAGGAATCTCTTGCTCTCCCGCTTTTTTCGATATTTCAATCTCGTCCTCGAGAAAAGCCAAAAATGGACTTATTTCTGAATGCAATAGACCTCGATTGGTGTTCCCTAATAAGCAATAGAAAACCCACATTTCCGTCACCTGCTCGGTTTTAAAGAGAACAGAATGAAACTTTTAGGTCTTAGGAGATCGTTTCTTGTTATCGCTTGTTGCCGCTAGCCATACTTTCGTTCATGTTCGCTATGAAGCGACATTTGTAAATTTTCCCATGTTGAACAAAATAGAAATTTAAAACGAAAATTTTGAAACGGCCGAGTGACTCCCCCTCTACTCTAATTTCGTTAGGGTAAGTGATCAAATGAAGTTATATTTATGGAGGAAACAAACTAAATTTTACCTGCTTGTGGCTTATCATGTAGGTTATTATTTTGGTCAAGTATCAAGTTTTAATACCGCTCTTGAGCCTAGTGTGCTCATAATTTTGACCTATCTTTGAATTTCTTTGTAACAACATTATACGTCTACTTACTACTATGTACAAAACTGCAAATGCAAATATTTTGACAGTAGAGTGCAAATGTACACACAAAGAGAACATGGGAGGTGTCTTAACTGTAATATATGTTTATACATTTTATGTAAAATAATCATTTAATCTCTAGAATCGATTATTGGTAGTAATAGATTATTCCTCCTAGGAATCTCCAGTTGATATCACATGGGCTAAGGTCTTATGATTTTGATATTCACTAACTAATTGAATATTACGTTTTAGGGTTGCAGGAATTGATAGGTATCCTCGAGGACAGGATCCAATATTGCCTGCTGTTTTGGAATTTCCCGAAGATCCTCAAGAGCAATTTTTGGCAAGAGTTATAACGCACCTAGACGTGACCACGCCTACGTTTAGATTAGCACCTGCGTACACTTTGTATTTATGTGCTAGGTATCGCGCTTCGACTCATTACCGACCGGAATTAACGCCTACGGAGCGGGCGCATAAATTAACACTACTTTTACAACATGCTGCGATGCTAGTGAGGCACACCGTACAGGACCGAAGCACCGAAAGTACATCACAAGCTTTTTGGTTGGCAAATGCGAGTGAACTATTGCATTTCCTCAAATCTGATCGGCACGTGAGCGCGTTTTCTCTACAATCCCAAGATACGCTCGCCGATGCTGTCCAATTGGCATTTCGTAATTTGGTCGCCTGCTTAACGGATGAGCTCAATTCGGTAATGGGCAATCTCACATCAGAAGTAGGCGAAGATCACCCGAGAGATATTATAAACACTTTAAGTAACGCTATGAATTTATTGAGAAAGTGCAGGGTCAATGCAGCTTTAACTATCCAGCTATTTTCCCAACTATTCCATTGGATATCGGCCAGATCTCTTTCGGTTATAGTTAACAGTCCGAATTTATGCAATCGAAGTTTCGGCTTGAAGCTATTGAATCGCCTACGGAACTTACAGCCGTGGGCAGAATCTCAGGGATTAGAGTTAGCAGCCGAGTGCCATCTATCGAAGATCGTACAATGCGCTCAATTACTTCAAGCTTCGAAGCAGACGCCTGAAGAGTTGGCCAATCTATCTGCGGCGTGTTTCAAGCTGAATTCTTTACAACTTCGCGCGTTATTAACGCAATATAAAGGTATTCAGGTGACTAGGTAATCGAACGGGGAAATTAAATTTGCATTTTAGGTGAGCCGGGGGAACAAGTGGCGGCGGTTGCGTTATTGGAGCAGGCAGCTAGAGCAGCGGAAGGTGTCGCAGATGAATTAGCACGAGCTGAGGGTAGAGAAGTTCGTTTACACGAAGATCCTGCTCCGCCCTTGCAGTTGCTACTGCCGGATGATGGTTTTAGTTGCGACGTTGTGCAGGGCGTGCCGGTTGGTTTAGCAGATTTCTTGCAGCCACTTCAGGCTTCGGGTTTATGTCGACTAGCAGCTCAGCCTACCAGCTCAGGACATTGGACTGTGTATATGAATGCTCCACGACCACCATCGGCTTTAAGTACAACTCAGCCTGAGGTAAGTTACCCACCGAAAGTATATTTTAAAGAACGTTTAAAACAAAATGTTACTCTTAAGGGATATGTACTGAAAATTCTGCCTAATCCATACCTGTGTTAGGTTTCTCTACTATTGGGTGGGCCAGACCAGCTTCTTGTAGAAGGTGTAATACAGGGTCGGCTATAATAAAAAGTTATGTGGATCAGGTGGGGCTTCAGTGATATCGATTTTTATCCACTAATTCTTTGTATACTTTACTATTCTTTTATAGGATCTTTTTTAGTAGTTGTTTGGCATATTCCCTGTTTTATTGGCATATTGGTAGTAATACTAACTCGGTCGTCTCCAAATATAAAAAAATGTGCTTGTTGAGTCAGTTGAAAACTAGCAAAGTATCATCTCAACTCCACATATTTAGTGATTCATATTATCTATTCAAATTATTTAATATATTGATAGACAATTTTTCAAATTTGAGAAGTCTCAGTAACCTTGATCAACTGCAACTCAATTATATTACAAATTAAAAATTAAACACCTGTCCTAATCCTGGTACCAACAGAAAAATTTAGCATAAGCGCTCGTTATTTAGGTCGTAGTTTGAGCTCAATTGGACACAACATGGAACATTTACAGATGAAACAAATTTATTAGACAAAAATAATTACATAAAAATAGGCACCATGTGCTGTTTCACGATGTATAGGTTTGAAAATGTTGCCTCCACATCGGTACACCAATGATGTTGAGTTTTAACTGACTCGTTGACTTGTAGTGGCTCCTTAGTTTATAGCTCATTGTATGAAACTTACTTTCTTTCTTGGCCTATATAAATACCTGTTATGTATAATGTGGTAAAAGAATAATGTAGTATTGATGTATCCTAAACGTAATTTAAACACATTGATCAATTGTTGATGTGTATGGCAAAGTACTCTTGGAACAATATTTTGCACTTTTTCCACTGAATATAATTTATAGACGCCACATAAAAATACTGATCAAGCTCGCCTTATTTCACACGTTCTCATCTATCCAGCGAAATCAAAACATCGAATCGCGCTTCTAATTTCCATTGATATTGCATATTTTTATATACACGGAAATTCAAAAAAATACAGGGTCGTTATTAAAGATGCGAAGGGTCTCACGCTTAAACCATTTGAGATATAGACGTGAAAATTAAAAAGCTTCCATTTGAAATTATTTCACGTACTTTTAGCTAATTTTTTTTCGTTATACCGAGTGTTTTGAGTGCAACAGCCATCTTGAATTTTTTGAAATGACAACATAGGTCATGTGATACGGCAGTTGAAAGCTTATTTTCTCCTCTTTCTTACCACCTTAAACATGTATGCATGTGGTTAAATTAGAACATCATGCAGAAAAATTTTAAAAATTGCCGTACGTTTGGCTGGCCAATGCATTGCACTTAGATACCAGAAGGTCAAAAATTAACAAAAGAACAATGAGCAGGTTAATAAGTGACAAAAGCACAGTACATATCGTTTGTTTCCTCCTTACATATGTAAGAAATAATTGATAATGTTGTGAAATATGGACCATTTGACAAAGTTTTTTTTTCCGTTATTTTCTAATTTAACACCATTCGTGATTCAGGTAGCAATAAAGAGAAAAAAGTATGCTTTCTAATGATGTATCACATGACCTATATTGACATTTAAAAAAATTCAATATTGCCGTCGCACTAAAACACCCTGTACTTAAAAAATTCTTTTTAACCTCAAAATTTGTGAAATAATTTTAAATGGAAGCGTTTTACTTTTCATGCCTATATCTCGAACGGTGTGAGCGTGAGAGCTTCCGTTCCATCTTTAATAGCAACCCTGTATATTCAGGTACCATCTCAACTCAGGGCCAGAATCCATATACCACGCAACAAGTGATCGATTGAAGCAATTAATTAAAGAAATCTTAATTACCTTAAAGTGTTAATAATCCAAAATATCCTGTCAAATGGCGATTTTCAACAAACAACGCAAACACAAAAACCAACTGATGTTGCTTCTGGAACGTCACTTCTCAACTTAGATGAGACTGGGTTTGTTGTAATTCCTGGTGGCTCTTTGATGGTGGAAAAATTCTCTTTAAGGGTTACTAAGAAAAGGTTCACATAAGCGATAAACGCTCGAATGACAACACTCTGAATAACTCTTTCGTAAGCGTACTACACACTTCCGCTTAACTCGACTTAAACATTCACATTGATCGACGTAATAAATCAAATCTTTTGGAGCATACATCTAACTTTCTTCTATAACACCTTTAATGTAACAAATTATGCTCAACTATCGATGACTGCGATACACCAAAAGTCTCCGCCACGAAAAGAGCAACGATTACGTACACCACTAAAAAAGCAACTGTTTCAGGTCCGTCTGTTCTATTTAAAACCATTGTCTTTTCCACTTCCAACTACGGAAAAAAATATCTTCGATAACACGTGCTTATCCTGAAACTAATTAGCCTGCATAGGGAAACGGAACAGTTTCACTGTCTTAATTGCAAAATATAATTTGCTTGTTTGTATGATATGACTTTTAGAGATATGTTTGAATTTCAGGTACAAATTATTAGACTGCATAAAGCGGGTGGTGGTATGGGCTTGTCAATAGTGGCAGCTAAAGGTGCAGGTCAAGAGAGATTGGGCATTTACATCAAGTCGGTGGTGCCCGGCGGTGCGGCCGACCGTGATGGTAGACTAACTGCCGGAGATCAACTATTGTCAGTCGACGGTCAATCATTACTGGGCATCACTCAGGAGAAGGCTGCCGAATTTTTGGTGCGCACTGGCAGCGTCGTAACTTTGGAGGTGGCTAAAGGAGGTGCTGTCTATCATGGCCTGGCAACATTGCTACAACAACCTAGTCCGACACCGCATCGAGGTAAGCTTACGCGATGCATTACCTTGTGATTGTGTGGGTAGTAATAGTAGAGCTGTTATCGTAGATTTCACGTGTTTTAATAAAGTTTGTAATATTTAGCTATGGTAAAGTTTTTCTATTTCATGCAGCTTGGGATTCGCCTCTTAATTATCAAATTAATGGGTCACAGGAATATTTATATGGTTCAACGAAACACCGAATGTTCACGCCGCCAATTGTAAAGTCTAAAAATAATGTGTTTTTTAATTCCGACGATAGTTTATACAAATCGGAAATGAAAAAATTAACCATACCCGAAATAAGCGTCGAACGTGCGCCGGTATTTAAATTAGAAATAACGGATTTTTCTGATCCGACACCAAAGAGTTTAACAATTAAGAACCCCAATAGTCAATTAGTTAAGCAGCACAACATAGATGAGGATCATATCGCGAGTAATTCGCATTTTAAAAGCGCCGAATTTAAACAATCTAAGAGTGTGTCATTAGATACTTCGGAAGTAGACAATCTGTACATTCTAAACGATAATGACCATTTAAATGTCGGCGGCAGAAAGCTAAATCAGTGCAAATTTTCAAGCTCATTGCAAGAGCTTTCCAGTTCTACGTCAAGCATCAACAGCGGGATTCATGAGTCAACGTTAGATTTGACACAAATTGACCCCAACACTCCGATTAAACACTGGAAATCTCCAGACGATTTACGCGAGGGTAAAGTGAAAACGCTTGCCCAACATTTTGAGCAATTACTAAATTTTAAACACCACAAATTGACCAGCTTTAGCGAACCTAATCTTAATAAATGTACATGCGACACCTTAAAACTAAGAAGTTTAAGCGACGAACACTTAGATGTCAATAGCAAGTTAACCGAATACGAAAGAATGGAAGTCCTTAAAGTGCTCTGCGACTGGAGCCTGCAAGGTTGCGAGGCGAAAAACGATGCCAATTTTAGTTTAAAAATTATCAAAGAATTTCGCAATTTAGAAAGCAAAAGCCAAAAGCGAATTGTAAATAGTAATTTGACCAAGTGTTGCTTAAAATATAAGTCTGAGCCCAATTTATCACCAAAAATACAAAGTAAAGCTTTGCCTAAAAGTACCTCTGTAGATAATTTAGGGTCCAAGAAGATCGCCGATTCTGATTTTTTACACGATTGTAAATTTACGAATTGCATTTTTAATAAAAATTTTATCCCCTCCCGAGGGACCAAAGAAAATTTTAGGTTAGTAAATCAAGTAGCGAAACCAAAACCGTTAAAAGGAATTCTAAAGAATAGCAACGAATGTTTAAACAGTGTTTCTAATCCAATTAAAGTACAAACGGTTTGTAAACCTAACTTTTTGAACATCAAGGGACGAAGACACAGCGACATAAGTTTGTCGAGGCCTTTCAACAGTCAATTATTAAGACGTGGAAGTTTAGAACGTTTAACCTATTTTGAACGTAAAGGTAGTGATAGGAAAAAGTTTCCCGAATCGTATATCGTAACGAACAATAGCAGTAGAATTAAACCAGTTAAGGTTGTCGTTCATAAGAAATGTTTGCCGAAAACTTGGAAAAGTTGCTCGGATATCAAAGGAAAGCAAAAAGTTATTAAAAAGTGCTGCAAGAATGCCAATCATACCTGTCCTCTTTTAAAAGATAGCTCCGATATCAAGAGAAATACTAAAAGTTGTGCGGAGATCGACTTGCAGAGTTTGGAATTCGCTGCAAGGGTCGCCGCCTTAAAAGATATGCGGTTGAGCGACTATAATTGTAAGAAAGATTTAGATGTGCACAATATTTTTTTTGCATTAATTCAATGCAACCGCCTATGTTTGTGTTTTTTTGACATCTTTTTATTCTTGCCGAGTTTGATGTTTCAAGCAAGCACAGTTCGTTCACAATGCTTTAGGTTAATTGTTACAATGCTTCAACTTTGATTATACTTTATTCGTTCATCCATGCATTCGTCGATTTTGAATTAGGAATTAGCAAATGAACACAAAGGAAAAAAGCAGAAAATGATGAATTAATTTGCATGCCTTTGGTTTCGAGTAGTGATAAAGTTCAAATTGTTGATGCTTCTATGACAGAAAAAAACAACAGCAAACCAATGAGTTCTGAAGGGTTCTAGTTTCCATTCTCTTATTTTTTTAAATTATAAGTTTATTAAAATGCGGGGCGGCTGGATTACGATAGGAGAGTGGATGAATAATAATAATAATAGGATTTTATTGCACTAAACATAATTGACACTGATTCCGGCAATTGGTACCATACACATTAGTGCAAACGGCGGCAGGTCAGGTCGTTGTCCATATGATGCAGACATTCGGGCCGTAATCTGGGCCATAAAACATCTGTTTTGGAGTCAGTCCGACCAACTCATACGCTTTCTCATTGTCTTTTGCTCCAGCATACCCTTTAACCCATATGAGCTCAAGGGTATTACTGTTTGCCTTGCTGTTTGCTATTTGCCTAGTGCGTGGTGACATTCGGAATCCAACCTAGAGGCAATTTTACAGTGACGATGTGCTTGCAGGCCGGCCTTGTTGTCACTGGAGATTCTGATAGTTTTGTTCTTTATATTCTGCGTAAGAATGTTTATTGCGCTAAGCGTTAGTCCTACAAATTCTGCCGTGAATATAGTAGTGTTTGCCTAGTGGTTGGGAAATGTGGAAGTTCAGTTCTTTGGAGTAAATACCAGTGCCTGTTCCCTACAATGTTTTAGATCCATCCGTGAAAATGAATATATCAGCTTGGGATGCCACTTCCGCATCAAAAAAGATGTCATAGTTTTCCCTAATATGAATTGAGGGATGAGAATCACGGCAGTGTACAGTCACAATTGCACGGCGACATGATACCTATATTTCACTGACTCTGAAAATTGGAGTTGATTACCTTTGAGGTGACAGAGGAGGCTATTTACAGTTAAATTCCACACAAGTGGTGATAGCACACCACTTTGGGGGAATCCTCTCACTACTGTGAGTGTTTTGTCGCCAACAGTGATGTGCACTGCTCTGAGTTTCAGCTGCTGCACTATGCAGCCAACCAATCGTGTTAGCGCTGTATTCCACACAATCTTTCCAGTGTCTTAAAGAAAAACGACATCAGGCTTAGGTGTGGAGTAATTCAGGTCAGGGACAATTTGTATCTCCCTTCATTGTTTAGGTATGTATGTGAAAGCAATATAGCCCTTATATATTCTCACTAGGTAGATAAGAATATCGTCCAAACCCCATTACAGGAGAACTGGTATTATGCCGTCCAATCCTGATGATTTGTATGCAGAGAACGATTTCATCACTTAGGTTCCCCTTGTCATATCCACGATCTGACTGGCAACCGCCCAGTCATCCTCCGTGGGAGTGAATGGGGTTGCATCTGGCCAGGTGGGGTATGGCGTAGTGTTGACTCCGGGAAAGTTCGCGCCTCTCAGTACCTCAGCTGTCTGTCTCCAAGAGATTGTCCATATTCTCTTCTGAGGCTAGCTGAGTTGTAATATGAATCCTTAGCTACGATTTTATTTAGGTGGGATGCGGGGGAGGCGGATTCTCTAGAGCTGCAAAAGCTCTTCTATGCCTCTCTCTGACATTTCCTGACATGCTTCTTATATAACCTTAGGTTTACTCTCGGGTTTACTTTACTTTATAGGCCTCCCAGTCGACTGTAGCCTTGTTCATCCTTGCCTTATTGAACTATTTGACCTCGTATTTGACCAACTGAGTTTTCTGCTTTTCGAGTGTCCTGCACCACCAAGGATAGTTATAGGGGTCTTAGGAGTTCTCAGAGGACATTCCTGTTCAAATGACTCCACAATGAAGTTGGAGAGAAGATCTGCTTCGCCCTGTAAGTCGGAAGGGCCTTAGAGACATCCCCCAAGAATGTGCTTCCTAGAGATTTTCTCCAAGGAGATGTTTGTAAAGGGGAATCCTTGGGGTACCGATAAGCCTTTTGGACAGCTCCCTTGCAGTTAATTAAGCGGCAGAGTAAAGTGATGCAAGCTTTATAGGGGAGTTGATGGTGTCCGTCTGTCCGTCCGTGAACACGATAACTGCCAAACGCTTGGACCGATTCAGTTCAAATTGGCACAGTTGACCTATATGCCACAAGTAATAAGCCTATTGAAAATGGGTCAAATCCAATGACCTCGTGGGGTCACGCTTCTCTGTCTCTGCCAAACGGTTGAAACTTTGCACAGTAGACTTATATGCCTCATGTAACAAGTCTATTGAAAATGGGTCAAATCCAATGACCCCGAAGGGTCACGCTTCTCTGCCCCTGGCAAACGCTTGAACCTATTCGGTTCAAACTTTGCACAGTTAACATATATACCACATTTAACGAGCCAATTGAAAATGGGTCAAATCCAGTGACTCCGTGGGGTCACACCGAGGTCCTCTGCTGCTTTTTTAAACGCTCTTTATAGGTTTATTTCAAATGAAATTATTCTATCATCTGATCAATGATCGATGCCAGACTGAGAACAATCACAGTTTGGCTTTGGGTAGTTACGAACGTGGGTTCCCTGCCCAGATTGAGTATCTCGAGATTAGTACTTGTCAGTCAAGTAATGATTTACCTTCAGGGATTGACGTTTGTGCTCCCCCATGTATAGTGGGTATTTGGATCACACCCTATAATGAGGTTGTTGTTTTTACATCTAGCGGTGGTTATCGCACCACAAACTATCGGTTATCACTCGTTTATTTCTTGATTTGTATTTACAAATCCAAAATTTGAATTTATTGTGTGCACGTTAACAAATTGGAGTACTACGCATGCGCAAACCCAACTTTTATATTTTGTGGATGGATTTTTCTGAAATTTCAGTTCTGAACCAATTTGATGTTGCAGCGGAAGCACAGCTTACTTACTATCCAGCTGCACAACTCTCTTGGCGGGAGCGGTTTGCGCCGATCTACGCGCGCAGCGCTTATGCCCTGCCTCTTGGGGTAAAAGGTATTACGTAATATTGTACAGCAAATTCTAAACATTCACATTACAATCAAAGACTATGGGGATAATCTTTGTTACAATACAGCACAAAAATCACCGGTACGCGTCAACTCGCCAAGGGCGACTCGCCACAGGACCACTCGCCACCGACTGACTCGCCAACGCGACAACTCGCCAACGAACAGCGAAATATTTTTCCCTGTTTAATGTGTCGTTCAAATAACGATGTGATTGTCAAATTTTCTGTTCAAATAATAATTTGCAGAAGATGTCGTTATATCAAAATGCAGTAATAGAAACAGGTATAGGCGGTTGGGTCTTCATTCAAATATTGACTACAATTTTTCGATAAACTTTTTTTACAAAATTAGGGAAATTGACTATTGCATTTGAGGGATGCATTTGGATGACACATTAAACAGGGAAAAATATTTCGTTGGCCAGTTGTCGCAGTGGCGAGTTGTCCCATTGGCTAGTCGGTCGGTGGCGAGTCGCCCTTGGCGAGTTGACCGTGTCCCAAAATCACCTACTACGGTACTGTGAAGCTACCGTGCGATGAAAATTCGTTTAATCCGGCCCCGACTTTTACCCCAAGCGCGAGAAGGTGCGCACCATTCAATCTCGCTTGGTTGAAGACCGCCAGATCAAAGGCGCCGCTCGAGAGTTGCAGAGCTGGATAGTAAGTAAGCTGTAGCGGAAGATGCATCTTATAAAACCTAGTTCAAATTACGCCGTTTGCGCAATTTTTTGAAATTTTAACAAAAGATGCAATTATAAAATGAAATGGAACAGAAAGGAAAATTGAACAGAGATTCCAAGAAAATCTGGTCTAGTAATTGCAGTAGGGTTTCATCAGTTTTGCAAATGTCTGATCTTGTTATGGGCATCCATTTTTACTCTCATTGTCACAGTTGCTTTGACATCTACTTTACCAGAAGGAACCCAAACTGCTTTCAAAATATTCATATAGGAATGAGGAATACCTGGATTATATGCACTGAATTATGTATAAGATTTATACGTGACATATCAACGCTCGTCGCGATGATGAATTTGTTGGATATAGATTTGAACTTTATTAACTTCATTTATTTTTTTTTTAATATCATTGCATTATATGGCATGGATCACAAACCACAGGCCATTGTTTTTAGCTGCAACATTAATCTACTACCGATAGTAGTGGCGTTTAACAAACATAACGTTTTATTAACTGATAGTGGCTTACCATTTATACATTTTGTTGGCGGAATGTAATTTGCATGTGTTTGTTTGAAAATATTAATCATTTTCTGCTTTATCAATGACTATTGTTTTATATTGTGTTTCATTTATTATTTCGTCAAAATAGGACATAAATTTTATTTGCGCAGGTCCAAGAAGAATGTCGGAACGCGATCTGCCATCAAGAGTAGACGCGGAGAGGACGATACCTTCGTCTAAATCTGTACCAGCCCTACATCATATTTCTCCAAATTCGGAACAACCTCGAACTGGAGGAACCCATGATATGTTCAACCCCGGATACAGTAGGACGTCATCAAACAACAGCATTAATACAAATAGCACACCGACCACCTCCCAGAATGGAATCGTTCCCAACCAAACAAATTTGCGTAGTAGATCGACGCATAATTTAAGTCAGCAAGACAGCGGATTTTATCAAAATCTTAGCGTGTATCGCAATAAAATGCCTAGTCCACAGCAACTGGGGGAGAGGTAAATTACGCTTATTTATTTAGTACAATCTGAAAACCTAAAAAATCATCTTTTGACTCCAGAGGCAGGTCTAGTTTACGTTGTAAATTTAAACTTTCATGTGATTTTCAGAACTTCTGCTCTGAGAAGCTCACAAAATTCTCTTCAGTCAACCATGGCAAACTCCCAACGCCCAGCATCTGCCTACTATCCTCAAAACGCGTTTCCTCCTACGGCAAAGGGTACAAATCTGAATCAATCAATTCCAAATTTGAAAAGTCCCCCATCTGTTCATCGTTTGCATGGTGAAGATTCAAGGTCTGGTTCATTTCCTCTGGTTAATCAACATCAGCAATACGTACATCATCAGAATTATGGTAGCCAAGGACCCAATTATGGAGGGCCCAACCAAATTTACGGCGGCGGGCCAGTACAAAATTCTAACTATCCTAGTCCAAATTATCCACGAACGCACGACGATGTGAATCATAAGCATTCGGTATATTCAAATCAAACGAGAGTTACGGACATGAATAGCGCATACCCTTCAAGTCCAAGCCATAATTCTCCAAATTACCAAACGAGTATGCAACACGTAAATGGTCCGCGACAAGACGAACCGGTTAAGCCGCAAGATCTCAGATATAACACTGGTTTATTGCGAGAGGATGTGCTACGACAGTCCCATGTCAGTCGCAATGAGGAAATGATGCGTTATCCTTCCAGTAGTAACGCCCGCATTCAGGAAGCCCAGATACAACAGAATCGTATGCAAGAAGCTGAAATGAGGACCTCCAGAAGCGAAGATATGTTAAGGCAGCACGCAATACACCAAAACGAAATTTCGAGGTACGCAAGTAGCGGAAATATTAGAAACCAGGAAGTAGTGAATCGAAGTGATGTGCCACAGACTAGACCAGTCGATCTGCAGTTTCAACATCGTTTAAGTAACGAAGACAGAAAAGACTTGCGAGGTCAAGCAAAACTTGCGGAAATGGGCGAAGAAGTCAGAAGAAGGCAAAATCGAGTCTTACCCCCTCCCCATCAACAACCACCTGCCGGCTATTACTACAACCAGCAACAAAATTACCACCCACAAATGGCGCAAAATGCGCATCACTTGCAGAATTTAAATTTAAACCAACATTCCACCAATTACCCTCCATATAATACCAGTCAGCCAAACAGCCCAACCTCGCCAAATTATCCAAAATCCCCACCTTTAGCACCGAAACCTTTTCGCAAACAAGACGATCCACCTGATCTACCTCCGTCGACCACTCACCCCTTGTATACGGCAAGTCTGCAAGATCCTCCAAAGATGTCATTTTATCCAAACTCGAATGTCTCGAATAAGGGTCCGGCGCGTGATCCTTGGGCGCGCGAAGAGCAGGAGAGGCAGGCGGAAGTTCGGCGCGAACAGGCCAGGCAATGGCAGGAACACCAAATTCGGGAGCTACTCTCGCTTTCGCATCGAACATCACAACAAGACGAACAGTTACGCGTCTTACAGTTGGAAAGAGAGTTTCAGAGGCGAGCATTGGAGGCGGCCGAACAGGACGATGAGGACACCGAAGAGAAAGAGAGTCCGTCGTCTACGCCATATTCGCAGCAGCCTTCTACTGCTGCGGGGCCGTCAACTCCCCTGTCTCCCAAACAAGACGTTCCCGCTTCCATTTTAAAACCCGGCGTTCCTAATAACATATCCTTGCCACCGCCTGAACCGGAAGCGCCGCCGCCTCCCGAAAGAGGTTCTAGTTACGTTATAATGTCTATGCATAATAAGGAAGGGACGAAACGGGTTACGTTTAATGATACGCCGCCGGTGTCGCCACCTGCAAATTTAGCATTGGAGGAACCCATCAGGGAAGATCCTAATGTAAGTACTTGGCTTGTTTTATACATGTGGTTAGTTCATTCATTTTAAGAAGGTAGCAGTAGAAAGCATGGGGAAGCTTTGACTTTCACTGTGATTAGTTAAAAAACGAGTCGGTATTATGATGAAAAATAAAGCGAGTGACAAACCAACTATACTGTATTCATTTTAAGAAGGTAGCGGTAAAAAGCATAAGGAAGCTTTGACCTTCAGTGTGATTGGTTAAAACACGAGTCACACTGAAACATAAAACAAGTGGCGAATTTTGCAAACTGGTAGTTTCTATTGTCAATTAAGCTCTTGAAGTGTCATTAGGTGTTAATGTCAAAGATTTATGTCTGGTTGCAGTACTGGATATTTCTACTTTACAATAATTTGGTGCCCTTTTATATTTTTCCTGTGTGTGCTTATCTTCAGACACAGCGCCATCTACTACTTTCTTATAATGAATGCAGTTTAAACTGTCGAACTGTCATTCACTGTTAATGTTAAAGACTCAAGCGTGGAATCCTTTGATTTATTTCTGTTCGGAGTATAATTTGATGCCGTTTTCTGTGTCCTGTGTGTGGTTTTCTTCAAACAGCGCCATCTACTACCTTCTTATAATGAATGCAGTATAGATTTAGCTCTGGTTGATTTAAACAACGCCATCTGCGAATTTTACCTGATGCAATGTGGCAGAGATTGCATGTAGAAAATAGTGTAGTTAGTACCTACTTTTCAAAGAAATCAAAGAAGAAAGTACGAGATACTGTTATATACAGGGTGAATTTGTTCAAGTGTTGCAAGGCGATATTTCAACAACGGGGGAACAATTTTAATATATTTTTTCTTTTCTGAATTTTTAGGGGAAGGGGGGCGGTGACTGATATTTAAATGAATTGAGGATATTGCAATTTAAAAAAACTTAATTACTTTTGAGATATCGCCTCGTTTTTGTAATACTTTAACAAACTTGTCCTGGATAGGGTATTTAATGGGCTGGCTTCCCATGCCAATGCAGTTAGTTTTGACTCCTCCGCCTTTGTGGGCAATTTATCACCCTGCAGTGACCCTCCCTCTATCCGCTCATCTGCTCACCAAGGAGTCCGTTGACACTTTGTAGAGAATTGACTTCAGATTCTGCAAATTCCTCGGGCGCCATTTCCTGGTCTGTGAGAAATAGATACTTACAACAGGTACTGTAGGAAAATTTACAAAATGGATCTAGCAGACTGCTTGCTTTTTAAATCAGTAACGAATTAATCAATATCACTAAACTGATCATCTTTTTTAACTTCCAGAGTTTCATACGGCAAGCTGAATCTATGTTAGCATCTCCCACAACACCAACCGACTGCACATCAGGGCTTGCGACGGCAACGCCGGGTGTGATTGGTGCCCAAGAAGTTTACAGAGATCCGAGAACGCGTCGGTTGGCGGAACAAGCGCAGCAGAAATTGCAAACCCCCGTACCCGAAAAGCTGTCGTTTAAAGAGAAAATGAAGATGTTTGCCATGGAGACGGGTGAAAGTGGGACTCCGAGAGATAAAAGTAAAATTTCACGTGCACAAAGAGATATCGATAACATCGGATCTCCTAGTTCAAACCTTGTACATTAAGTAATACTGTTAGCAATAATTAAGCCGTTGCTAGTTTTTCGTATTAAAGAGCACCTTACTGTGGTTATAATTCTAACCGTCCAAGAAATGCTATATAAAGGCACCTTTACATCCTTTGTATCCTCCTATTACTGACAACGATCTGATTTGTTTATACCATGAGCTGACCCTTCTACCGAACTAAATAAGTAGGTAGTGAAGAAGGGTACTGATGAGAAAGGTCAACCTATTAAAAGTAGTGGCTTATGAAGTGATGAATAAAATAGTTGCAGCTTTAGAAGTTTAATGAATGTTTTCTCTGAAGAAGATGTATTATATATTACCCTATTTTTGTCTAACATGTGCATTTATACATATTATATATAAATTATTTTTGTAGACTAGTTACTTATTTCTCATACTTTAGAGCAATATCTGTCACATACTTGAGCTTTATACAACGGACCAATTCAATAGGAATAAAATTTTTTTTAATGAAACGATTAACATTCCTTGTATGTGAAAAGACACAATGTCAGTTGTTTTGTAGATAAAATAAACATGGTCTGATTACTAATGATTACAAAGTGTGACTAAGTGTAAATACTATGTATATTTTCATAGTAGGATTTGGCAAGGAAATGATTTTATCATGAAATTAATTGATTGACAAAATTGTTTTATCTCGTTATTTTATGTATTAGCAATAAAATATTGTAACATATGTTAATAACGTGTTTTATTTAGTTTGGTGAAGTATACTGTTACCACTTACCCCGATTTCAAGCATGCAATCTTTGGCTGGTCTATTTTAACATTAAACAAAATTATACAGAATGCACATATTAAAAATTAAAAAGCTTTATTAGCAAATGTTTAACAGATTATTTTGAAGGGTGCCATACTTCAAAGGAAAACCAATATAGTGTTGTTGAAAAAAAATTTCAGATTAACGGATTTAAAAAATAAAGATGGAAAATTATAAAAAAATATGAAATGTTGCATGCAAACTGTAAATAAATCCAGGAAATATAAAGGTTACAATCTGCATTAAATATCACAGAAATAACAAACGTTGACAGAATGCTGTCTTGACGAGAGTTAAAACGAAGATGCCAAATGTTACAAGCGTTAGTGCTCTCGAGATGGCGCATACAGCTTTCCTCGTCTTCAGTGACCATACAAACAGTGGCGACAATAGAACCCCTCCGTCATCGAAAATTCAAACTAGAAGCAGGCAACACACAATATGACATGCGTTGCGTATAACCATTGAATTATACAATATTATATACACAGTTATTATAGCGTCGTATGATACTGTGATACCAAGTGATGTATTTATTAAGCAGTAGACATAGGGATTTACGTGTATTGGTTTTCCTTGTGTCTGTCTACTTTTAAAATGACAAAATTTTTTCTAAAGGGGGTCTAATTTTATGCTACCAAAACAACTTAAAACAAAATATATAGATCTGGCTGTCATATTAATTCATTTGAATATTGTTGTTGGGATTCACAGAAAATAAATTTTTTGCGCACCTTAAACTGTTACCGGCACTATATCTATTGATAATATAAACTTTTTCTTCAGTTCAATACATCGCATACGAACGAGAATAAAAATACAGAAACCAAACCAACAATATTCAAATTAATTAATATGACAGCCAGATCTTTATTTGTTTTAAAAGTTATTTTTGTTGCATAAAATTAGGCGCCCTTCAGTAGAGATGTTGTCATTTAATAGTATATTAAGTATGGAGAACGGTAAGGGATTTTTACCGTTCGAAGACAATTGTTTGGAGGAGGAGCGGAGCGACGACTCCAATTATTGTCTGAGAACGGTAACCCTTAACGTTCGACGTGCTTATAACATTTTTTGCGCGATCGAAATTAAAATTATTCAACCAATATAAATATGCACTAAGAAATTAACGAGCAGAATAAATCGAAATGATCGAAGTGGTATGGTGTACATAACTAGGTAACCAGTTTAAATGTCAAAATTGAAATTAATAATTTCATAAAATTGTGCATGTGTCTGATGTAGTTTGCTAGCTTTGCACTTCCTTTATGACTTTATGAGCCAGGTATTTGCCGGTGGCCGAATGGTATGTCGAAGATTAAATTAAAGATTAAATGTAATGTAAGACTGTTAACATTGAACTGATTGTTTTTAAAAAGGCGTCGGTAAGTATTTTTGCTGTTCTGTTTTCAGATCGGTAAGTAATTTTGGCGTCGTCGTAATCATAGCAACTGGTAAATTCCACTTACTGTCATGGAAACACACATGGTAAATAGTCAGAAATGACCGATCGCGCAAAAAAGTCTAATAAGGAAAAACAATACACCTAAACTCCTATGTCTACTTCTTAATATATATCACTGTATATATGGCCGCCGGTCTCAATCTTAGGCTATGAAATTACCTTTCTTTCATAGTCCAACTAAATTATAAGCAATCAAAAATTAGACACATTGTCACCACTGTCGTATAAAGTCACTCTGTAATCCCTTCTAATACGTCGCGCGGACGTCTCAAGTTTGTGGTTGTTAAGCACACTAAAGAACGCGCTTCGGTGTGTGTTTGCCTATTTAAATCAATGTAAGCGAAAAAGGTGCGGCGCGCGCCCTATGGCAACTGGAGAAAAATAATATAAACGCGGTACTCTCGACAGACTCTTGAATCTCCTTAGCAGTAGGCTCAAACGAGATAGCACGAACAGGTCAAGTACAACACATCTACGATCAATTCGAGCAAATCAACTCGTAAAATGGTAAATTGCATGTACAGGGTGGGCCATAATTTTTGCACTTTTGTAAATTTATTATTTACAACAGGCTTGCGCCCAATTACAGAATGTCTAGCAGTCACTAGCACAGTGATCTTTTTAGAGGTGCCTCTGCCATGAAACAAAAAAGTATACATTGTATTCAAATAATCGCATTAATCTATTACTTTCAGCATTACCCATTACTTTTAAATTCGCAAGAATGCAGAAATAATTTTTGGTTATTTTTCTGCGTCCTCAGTCCTGCGTGGGTACTCTGCGGCGGCGCAGCGTAAGCAAAATATAAAAAATCCCACTATTCATTCATGTATGCATGATGCAATAATGATTGGTGCAATCTCCGCCGTGCCTGTGGCCATTGTATTTTTATTCTTATTCACGTTTCGTTGTATTGACAGTTATTTTGAAAAATTAATATTTATTAAATGCACCTACTGAATTTTCTTAACTTAGGCGTCCCAATAATGTCCGCGTTCTAATGTCTGCGTCCTAATGTCTGCATGGGTCACCCACCTACCAAGGAAAATCTCACGCCAGTTCTAAAATTTGATTTTGCGCACGCGCAGTGCCAACTTTTTTATTTATGGAAACATTTAAAAATTCGATACATATGCGGTTGGAACGGCAGTTTTAAAATTTAGGTTTGCGCATGCGCAGTTCCAACTTTCTTATTTAGAAAAGCATTAAAATGAAATTCTTCTAATAAACTGAAATTGAAGTAGAACGTCAAAAATGAATTGCACATGTGCAACGCTATATTTCATATTTGTGGCCGGATTTTTACGATTTTAACAGAAGTTGCATCTTACAAATGGGAAATGAATGCAAGTGGAAATGCACTTTATGTAAATCGTTTACGATTACTTTTTAACTTGTTTTTATTGTTTGCTAAACATGTTGCCTCGATGTTTTTAAATCATGATGAACATTGATATTGTATACTTAGGGTATACTTGGTGTTACATATAAGAAAGTAAAAAAATTGAGTGGTAGAGGGAATCAAAATAATCACTTTTTCTAAATACATCGAGGGTCTAACGTGTTTTATTTGGGAGCCACCCCCAAAAAAGTGGTGAACTTTGCCTTCCTTGTTTAATTTTTTTTTCAGCAACCGTAAGAGTTACAAAGACCGGTGGCACGTCTCGGCGGAGTGCTCGGCAAGTGTAATTGAGCCTTTATCTCAATTTTCATTTCATTGTGGCTGTTTATATTACTTTACCTCTATTGGTGAATGGTGCTTTCTATATTCAAGAATTACTGTGTTGTGTGACCCTGGCGATTAGAAGCGACATAATTTTACACATTGCTGCTATCCGCTTTATGTAAAAACACTTACAAATTTAGCGTGCGAATTCTATTCGTTTGTATTCAATTAAGCAACAAACTTTGTACCATTCTACGTTCAAATGGCCTTTTAAATTAGGACTTGAATAAAATATCACAATTATTTCCTATGTAAAATTCACACAAGTCATGGATAAGTATATATTTTTATTACAAATAGGTAGGTATATTAATAAATTTGGTCTTCCTAAAAACGCTTCATTTAGAATAATCTGAATCTTTAGAATCCGCAGATACCCAGAATGTTCTTCACTCTGTAGTCTGATTATTTTCTGTAGAACCATTAGAATCCTTTGAATCGTCAAATATTCTTCATACAATTTTTTTAGACTTTAGAGTTGTCTTAAAACCTTCTCACACTCTGGATCTTTTTGTCAGCAAATGTATTAAATAAGTTGAGGCAACATTTGAAGAAATTTTCATTATCAGGCCACTATGAGCAAGAGATAACTCGTTGAAATGAGGTATAGGTTAATAGGTAACCTGTTATAGAAACACAATTTACTAATCTAGGTTATTTTGTAATTTTAACTACTTAGTGTTTCATTTTCCTTCTATTTTTACTTTACTTGTTCCGTGTACAGACGGGAACCCTGACCGCAGATGACACTGCGCGTCTTAAGAGGCGACTAATCAATTGCATGTCTGGCACAACCTGATTGGAAAAGTAGAATGTTCTACGAAATTTAAAACAATAGTAAGCGCGATGAGTGAGTACTTAGTAGACTGTGAATATTGAAAGTAGGAAGGTAGGACAAAACTTAGGTTAGGTAGGTTGGCATTGTTACTTTCAACCATTTTGCGCGGTGGTTGCAATGAAGGTAGGTATAGACTCATCAAATTTCTACGCTGGTGGTGGACGATATCTCTTTATTTTTCACCTTCTTTGGTATTCTCGCAGTCTACGAGATTGGGTTTGGGCGTAGTAGTCAAAGGATTTGCATCTTAATTTCATACTCTGTTGTACCTATAAGGAATTTGCCCTAATAATAAAAATTCAAATTATAGTCTTTGTTTTACGAAGTTTCCCCAAAGAGTATTATGGTTACTCTTTGGTTTCCCTAGAGTTCTTTATGGGGACGATTTAAGTCTATTGGTATGGGATTACGACATACAGAGCGCGTTGAAGAAACTTTCCTCTGATTGGTTGGCATCTTTTTTTTTAATCAGTTTTGAGTTTGTTCTATTTGTTTTTGAAGTAAAAATTCAGATTGCTACAGGTATACAAGTACATACATGCTCTAGACCAGTGTAGTATCTACCTAATGTTAGGAATATAAAAAAATAAAAAAAGACGTTTGCCAATCTAATAGTCGTATAAGAAAATCGAAATTCGGTAAAAAAAATCTCCGACTCACGGAAGAGGTTCCAAACTTATGGAGTATGGAGTATTTTGTCATTAAATGTCCGAAAACGAATGAAGGTGTACTAATAGAGTAATAGACATATGAGTTTGTTCTTCAAGAAAAAAAAAGAGGCGCTATCACAAAGATCTGATGGATTTTTGAGTTCATTAGTTTAGTACCTAAGTATTTCTAAATGAAATTGCTTCAAATAAGTATGGATTTCACTCTTACTTACTAAAATTTTCAAATGAATATTTTTTAAGGATCTACACCAGTTCAAAGAGCTTCAAAACAACTTCCTTCCGGCATTGATTAACTGTGTATACATATAATGCTTCCGCCAGGCCGACTTTGATTTCGACTCGAACTTACGTGGGACGACTTTGCCTTGTAGAAGTATGAATAAAAAATTAATCACGGTGCGCCGATTCTGATGCCTCGTTTATGGAGACTTATATTTCATTGCGGTCGTTGTGCTTAACGGTGCGGTCCATCCGTTCATTTTCTTATTTTGAGGGTTACTTAGGTTACTTACTATGAGTGCTATTTTTCCAGTAATTAGCGACGATGGTAAGCAAACTTGTATTTAAATATTGTACAGTTCATTAAACAAAATTAAGTAAAATAAAAACAATTTTGACTTTGACCTACATACTTAATAATCTAGTTACACAATTTATATAGCAACTTATGTACATTTTAAGCCTATAATCACAATTATCTGTATACTTATATTAGTTTGATCAATCGAATCGGATTAAAATTTGAAAAACATTATTTGACTTACGCAAAACACATACCTTAAATAAAATGCAGACCATCAACCTACAAACTTTGTTTATTCATTTAATAAAGAACGTTAGGTACAAACCATTGAATTATTCAATGGTACAACTAAATTTATCGGTGGCGTTGCGTAGAACCCAGAGGCCTCAAACCTTGGCGCAGAATGCCCACCAAATCCAAGTCTTAAAACCTCCATTTTTTATAATCTTATTCCAGGTTTATTGGAATATTTACCCGTTACTGCAACAAACCTTGAAGGTGCCATTGATGTAATACGCAAATCGTTCTTCATCGACGAAGCAGTATGCAAAGCCGTCGAAGTGTCGACTAACCCGGAAGCTGCGAAAGAATTGGAAGAATTATGTTACGCGAACGCGAAAGATGGAGTGTCCTTACTTGCGGTTGAAAGAAGCACCGGACGAGCCGTCGGGGCGCTGTTCAATAAACTGCAAGTATGCTGACTGACTGAAGTACTTATGGGTTTTTATAAACTTTTTAGGTGAAAAACGACGTGGAGGACACTTTTTTTTCAACGTTTGCGGCAAATTGTAAACATGCAAGCTCGAAGGCTTTGGTAGAATTTATGATTACTGTTGATGAAGAGGCCGACCTATTTGAGATATCCCAAGCGGATTGTTTGCTCGAAATGGTATTTATAGCGGTTTTACCAGGCTACAGAGGCCGTGGAATTGGATTAAAATTGTTCGAAATAACCATTGGTATTGCAAGAGCTTTATTTAATGGAAAGAATGTAAAAACACCTCTCAATGAACAGGACTTACCTATTGGACCTATTCCAAAGGGCGTCTGTTGTATTCTTACATCTAAATACAGTCAAACACTTGGAAGGCAGTTAAATCTATCTATTGCAAAAAAAATAAGTTACGAGAAATTCACTTTTGAAGGGAAAACCTTCGCTGAAAGGCTTGGACCAGAATATCCGAGTACAACTGCGGAGTACCTAACGTTTTAGTAATGCACATGAAGCATATAGCAAACAGTAATGTTATTAGTTTAAATAAACAATTTTACCTACCTATGATTTGTTAACGGCGCATATTATTAATAATCGATTTCATTTAAATCTCACATTCAAACTATACCTACATATAAAATGCTCTAGAATCTTCCAAAAAATATTCATGTGGGATTCAGAAACTCTTGTGTCGACACAAAAAGTGTATCAAATAGGTTAACACATAGGTAGGTACCAAATGTGGTCGATTGTGAACTTTCGATATGATGTCCGTAATGTTATCTAAATTTCCCACATGTTATAGGTGAGTCAAACTATTTTGGAAGGGTGAAACGGCATATAAAGACTGATTCAAATTCGAGGGTCACCATGGGGATCTGGCGGAAACTGTAAGATATAGATAGGTAGTTTAAATTTCAGTTGCGTATTTTGATGCTTAAAATATGCCGGGAACTGAAAAAATTCCGACTACTTTCGGAGATAGGTACCCGGAAAAAAACGAAATTTTGCAAAATCTTTTTTATTTTTTATTTAAACAGAAATAAATGACACATTATTATGGCCACTTTTATCTCTCTACAAGATGCTAGTTTTAAATTTTATGTCTGACGTTTCGTCACCGGTTAACCACCATCAACTTTTTCTTATGGAAGTCATTTTTACTTTTTGTGTCATATTTGATAGAGCATTTTTGATGATTTCAAAACTATGAACATCACTATTTTTAAATATTGTTACAATTTAAAGTTACAGCATTTCCTGGAACTTAAACTTAAAGGTGTCTATATTTTTTTTATTTGTTAGTATAGGTACGTATCCTACAAGATTGATAACCAAAATGGTTTGGTGAACACTTTTTTGTAAAGTAATCTGATAGTTTGCTTAATTTAATACTCTGCTGTACAAGAAATGTGAACGTTTTTTTAATTTTGTTTTTTTATAAAATGCGTGTCGGCATAACTGAATTTTTTAAAAAATATATATAAAACAAGCTTTATCTACTTAGTCATGAATCAATTGAAAGATTGAATTAGACCGTGAAAAAAGTGCCTTAACCTATATTTGAAATAGGGAGGCTTGGAATATTTAAACAGGTATGTGGTTTTTTTTTAAAATGTACTCAAGCTGCTCTTGATGATAAATAGTGGGAGGGGGCCGCGAGCTCTGGGGGTGTAAAAAACGTTTGTCTGAATAGCGTAGCACTGCAAATGAGTGTTGGAAATCTTTCGGTACTGCAGTCTGTTTGATTTTAGTTGTCACAGCGGATATCTCGGTTACTGTTAGATATATGGCAAAATGTTATAGAAGAAAAGTTGTTTCACATTTAATTTTGTATTATTTATTACCTACAGTCAAAAAATGGGACAACCTTCGTCGCATAATGTGGTGGCGTCATCGTTTTTGTTTGTTTAAATAAAATGAACTACTTTATGTATATGCATTTTGTTTTACTAAAAAAGTGAGATTAAATTATTGTTATTTTTTGTTGCAGCTATCCTAAATGCAATTTATTACTATTGATAAAAGCCAAGTTTTGCATGGACACATCTTAGGGGGTTATCTTGCCATAGCCTCGTTTTTTTAAACATTATAGACATTGATTTTGTACGCAGTCAAAAGTCATCGCGGCAAAGATTCTTCTAATCTAGGTTTGGAGTCCTATTATACAGGCGAACAACTTATTACATTCCGGTTCCACCGCGTAACCGTCCATTTTTGTATTTTGAGGCCACTATGAGTGCTATTTTTCCAGTAATTAGTGACGATGGTAAGAAAACCTATGTTTAAATATTGCCGTTAAATAAAAATTGATAATCAAATAAAAGCGATCTTGACTTTGACCTTTGCTCAATAACCTATGGCTTTGATCTTTTTTTAAATAAAAATATGTTACTTAGGTATGAAAAAATAGACACAAATAACAAAATCTTTGGGACGCCACCCAGGTATATGATATTCCATATACTTCACCATTAATGACACGCATCATAAAATTCCTAAATCCTAAATCTAAACATTCCTAAATTACCATTTTACAACTCAACGGGAACCAATATCTACTACGCTAGGCTTCCGTATTTTTATTTTCGTTCGTGTGCGATGTATTCAACCAAAGAGTATAATACTCTTTGATTCAACTGAAGAAAAAGTAGCGTAAGAGCTTTATTTTCTGTGAAACCAAAGCAACAATATTCAAATTAAGTAATACGACAGCCAGATCTTTATTTGTTTTAAGAAGTTATTTTGGATGCATAAAATTAGAAGAGATTTTGTCATTTAAAAAACATAAAGACAACAATACATGTAAATCCCTATGTGTACTTCTTAATAAATATCACTGTATGTAGGTACTACATTGCACAGGGTGGAACACTTCAGACAGGTTGTAAGTCATTCAATTTAAAATGCATTTACCTATATTCATTATTTTTACCGCATTTTTGAAAAAAATAGACTATTACATTCGTTATGGCTGGCTGTCTGGCTAGTTAGCCGGTTGTCCGGTTGAAATCTCATCAGCAAATACAAATAGCTAGAGACTTCAAATTTTTACTACAAGCTTTCTGTTATATGTCGATGTGCATCAGGTTCTAGTTATTTCGAGCTAGATTACTTGTGAGATCGATAAGTTTGAACTTTGGTAATAAAATACTGATGTCTACTACCAAAAATGCGCACTAATCATACCTTTGCTAATTTATAATAAGCAGATATCTCTTTATATAGGTTTATTGGAATATTTTCCTGTTACTGCGACAACCCTTGAAGGCGCCATCGATGTAATGCGAAAATCGTTCTTTATTGACGAAGCGGCATGCAAAGCCGTCAAATTGTCGACTAATCCGGAAGCGGCGAAAGAATTGGAAGAATTATGTCACATCAACGCGAAAGATGGAGTGTCCTTAATAGCAGTTGAAACTTGAAAGAACCACCGGGTTGACTGTCGGGGTGGTCTTCAATAAACTGCACGTATGTTGACTGATTTAAGTACTTAGATATATCTATGGGTAGAAACTTTTTAGGTGAAAAGCGCCGTGGAAGACAATTGTTTTTTAGAGTTTGCGTCAAATTGTAAATATTCAAGTTCGAGGACTTTGGTACAATTTATGAATGCTATTGATGCCGAAGCCGACCTGTTTAAGATAACCAAAGCGGATTGTCTGCTCGAAATGGTATACATGGCCGTATTACCAGCGTACAGAGGCCGTGGCATTGGATTAAAATTTTCCGAAATAACTCTTGGCATTGCAAAAGCGTTATTTAATGGAAACAACAATGTGAAAACACCTATCAATGAAGAGGACTTGCCTATCGGACCCATTCCAAAGGGTGTCTGTTGTATTCTTACATCTAAGAACAGTCAAACACTCGGAAGGAAGTTCAACTTATCTATTGCAAAAGAAATAAGTTATGAGAAATACACTTTTGAAGGAAAAACCTTGGCTGAACAGCTTGGACCGGGTTATACCAGGCCAACTGTGGCGTACCTTACATTTTAGGAATGCACATCAGGCAATAGTAAACATGTTGTAAACAGTAATATAATATAATAATGTTTTTTTCGTTTAAGCATAATAAATCAATGGTTTAAATGAACATTATAGTATTTTACATTATTAGCCAGGTAAGTGAGTTTTTACTGGCGATAGGAGAAGTTGACTGGCGAGCCGTTAGGCGAGCCTGTCATCTCCTAGAGCCAGTAAAAACTATTACCTGGCGTATAATGTACAATATTTTATTTGTTACTCATTTGTAAACAATAGTAAACGTAAATAATTAGTTCTTAAATTGATCTTGAAGAAATGTCTAAAATATCATGTTATCCATGTAACAGAGACTTCGCATTAATTCTGGCCAATGAAATTACTAGATTACTAACTTGTAAAATTTTTACAGGTCTGCTGTCAGTTTTACAAGTCTGCTGTCAGTTTTACAAGTCAGTAGTGTTTAAAAATGACGTTTACCCGTTTGCGTTTTGTCTTGTTAATCAACGTTTACAACTGAGTAACAAATAAAATTGATTTACAAGAAGTGTACAATATCAAATAATGAAATCACACATGCCCAATGTGTGTTCGAATAAAATTACGTACCTTGTACCTACCCAGAGACTTGCTATAACCATTGAATTTATAACTATCAGAAGCGCGGATCCCATATAACAGTTTGTGACCATGTGCCAACTGGCCGCCGCTAGGAGCAGTTCGATCGTTTGAAAGTCCGTGGGCGATCGAAAGTGGAGCGTTACATTGACATTAGATGGCAGCATTACAAACCATTTATTTTGACCATTCGAATATTTTCCTTTTTAATCGTCAGATGTCAGGAACTCCGGATGTTTTTTGTGTTATCATTGGAATGGTTTTATAAATAGGATTGGAATGTTCTAAAAATAGATCCCTTAAGAAGCATTGCGTAAATTTGTAATGTAAATAATAATACATTTAGACGAACGAAGCTTGCAGTCCTTGTCCTTGAAGGAATGCAATTTCATACATTCTATTCACAGGCAGTAAAATAGGCAGGTTCCACATTTTTACTGAAAGCGGGAGATTTTGTTATTAAAAAATGTTTAATATCACCATTAAACAGGAAAGGGCGCTGGCCAAATATTAGAGAAATAGTTAATTGGGAAAGAAAGTAGGATTAAGAAATAAAATTACATTGCATTATTTGTAAATGATGAATAACAGATTGCAATTAATTTGCCAATTGTTGTATAAAATTTTATACAACAATTGGCAAATTAATTGCAATCTGTTAATTGCAAATTGAAAACTAACCTAGTCAATGTTGTGTGCAAATTGTCCTCATTTACAAATAATGCAATGTAATTTTATTTCTTAATCCTACTTTCTTTCCCAATTAACTATTTCTCTAATATTTGGCCAGCGCCCTTTCCTGTTTAATGGTGATATTAAACAAAAAACGATCAAAAAAAATTTTAAGGCAAAATATTGTCCGTTGCAAGCAGGCAGCTACATCATTTCCACATTCACATTTGATAACTAAATTTCGCGAATCAGCTTTTTTTATAACCATGCAGCATTGTGCACAAATAAATCGGTCCCAGTTTACGTGAATTCGTATACCTACTAGAGCTGAGCGATAAATGAAATTGTTATCGATTTCGATAAGTCTGTTCAGTCTGATAATTATCGATTAATCATTAATTGATAACTATCGATAATTATCGATAACTTTAATCACTTATCGTTAACTTTCGATAATAATCGACAATTATCGATAAATCGTAAGGCTAATTTTCGATAATGATCGATAACGTTTGATAATTATCGATAACTTTTTATAATTATCGATAACTTTTGAAAATAATTAATAATGATTGTTAGCTGCTGATAATAATCGATTATTATTGCCACGAAAATTGTCTATCTCTGATATTTATCGATTAATAAATAAGTAGCGGAAATTATCAAGAGAAAACTATCGATACCTACTTTTTCATAAATCTCATCGATATATATTCTCAATCGATATATTACATCATCCATGCGTACACTCGCTAACATTTTTGTTTTTTTGGTATTGATATTGCGAAAGATAATTTAAATAAAACAGGATCTTTTGATGCTCAAGTTGTCTGAAATCAAAGGTGATCAAGTGGACGATAATCCTCAAAAATGAGTACAGCAGTAGGTTGTGAATTGTGATCATATGGCAACTCAACAATGCTCTTACATCGCTTTTGTTGGAAGTAAACTGGTATACCTAAACATTGAAAAGTTTATGTCGTTAAAAATTCTCTCGATAATTATCTATCTTAATAGTTTAGTTGTGAGATTAATCGATAGATTATCGGTAATTATAGGTTTATCGACCAATCCTATCCAATCCAACATTTTCGATAAATTACACCGGTCTACAGTATTTTTGCGCATGGGACATATAACCTTATTTTTATTGCTTCTATAGCCACAAATAAGAATTAGAACAAAAAATGGTTATGTATTTGTTTTTGTGTGAAAAAAATGCAAAAAACCAAAAAATAAAAATACCTATAGAATCCTACTTACATAGGCATGATTTATTAAATGGTAACGTTTCTACATTTATAATTTGTTTATCTTAGAGTCTAAATGTTTAAAAATGGAACAGTTTTGCTGTTTTTGTCATGTTCAACTGAATCTGATCTTCCATCATGCTTCCAACTTCCTGGCCTTGGGAAGGTGCCTAAGTTCCATTGTCTCGAGAAAGTGTTGTCCTTATTCCGAATAAGCTCCCATATTATCCTTAAATTGATCTAAATGAGAATGTAACCTGTGCATCTTTATTCTTTAGAGACATTCTATAGAATGTCTCCATGATACAAAACCAAATCCTGTCAGCTCGTCATAATTTTCAGCTCTATGGTTTCCCAGGAAACACTGAACGGGAAACCATGGACTATTGCCTTAAAACTGTTCCAGGATTTTTTTCCTCTTTGCTAAGTAACCGCGGAAAAATATCACCCTCCATTTTTCTTTTTTTTTTAGGGAAAACAAAGATTCCAGCTTTAATTTTCGCCCCTGAAAGCTTTCAATCAAATCGCTGTAACTTTTGTAAAAGCAAATATTTTCGATGTCTTAATCGCACTTTTTATTTATTTTTGCTTATTATAGTCAGAATATATATTGTGTAAATCCCATGCGCAAAAAATTCTTTTTTTGTTGACCGGTCGACCATTTTTTTTAAATTTATCGATTGACTATCTATTAATCGATAATTATCGATAAGTTATCGATTAACCATTGAGAACAAATTTCAAACGTCAGAATTTAAAAGAAAAGAGGTTAACGACCTTTTTATTTTGTATCAAAATTGCCAGGTGTGACGTGTGATCCTAGATCAGGGGTCGGCAACCTGCGGCTCTTTTGATACCTATAAAGTTGCGGCTCTCCGTATTTATCTAAAGAAATTAGTTCATTTGTTCGAAATTCGCCTTTTTAATTAATCTTATTTTGTATCAAAAGTATACTTGCAGCAAATAATTATCTAATTTTTGACACTTGTTTACTTTCTGGTATTCTTTTGTTTTTTTTATTATAGCCAGCCTACTCCGATGTATAAACACGTAATTAATTAATGAAGAGGTACTTTTGTGAAAAATATTGAATAACCTAAACACTGCGGAGTTTAAGCACAGGGCACCCCTTATAAACATTTAAGAGAAGACAAAAGCGAATAGCGAAATAAAATAGTGGTAGTTCCATTTGAAAAAGAATAGTTATAGCACTTTGAACAAACGGCATTGAAACAACCAAATATTCAGGATGTTCTATTTAAAAAGATCAGTTATTAATTGACATCGTAAAAATGGAACACCCTGTACATTCAAAAATAATTTCTGTAGATCCGCAACCACCAATATTTTTACCAGGTATCTATCAGCTATGTAGGAAAAACCGACGGACTGTTGCAGGACCCTGTATATAGCCAAAAACTATAATATTGAATCAAAAATTATTTGTGGCTCTTTAAGAATTGGGAAATTTTGTAAATTGTAATTTTTAGCTCTTCCGTTTCAATAGGTTGCCGGCCCCTGTCCTAGGTAGTTTAACCGGTGGCAACCTCAGAGGAATAAATAAATTTATTTATTTATTCCTCTGAGGTGGCAACGGTTTAACCGACACACACAAAAATTAAGAATAGATAGGTAGGTACATTTAATTTCTGTTACAGTGATCAAGGATGCCTGCGTATTTTTTGCTTTCCTGTTCAAATGTAATTCAATCTTCCTTAAGGAATGTTAAGTAAGGTCACGATTCATGAAAGGAAGAATGTTTATCTTACGTCATTCAACATCCTGTGTGCCACATAAATGCCTTATAAGTACGTTTCTTGGGTATCTAGAATTCTGTATACAACAATTACAAATCGAGATAGTGGGTTCATTACAGATTCCTGTATAATAATTAACAAAGGTAAAAAACTGACATTATTATTCATCTTTCTCGATGGTAGAGACATCTACGTCTTGTAATTTAAACTATTGAAAACAGTCACATATCCTGCCATTTAACCTGCGCTTCTGATAGTTATAAATTCAATGCTATAACTAGACTGCGCCTAACGTATCTAAGGTGTTGTCGACACAGTATGCAACACACAATGCACCGCGGGGCAAAAATCGCTGAGATGATATGCAATATAATGAAATAAGCTGTTATTTTAGATGTTCCGTTCATTAATCATTCTCGTGATTAGCTCGAATTAGTGAACAGATAAATTTCTGTTGAGAATAAACCAATAAACTTAAGTTAGCTTGTGCCTATCAACATGTACTCTGTCGATAAATTTTGAAATAATATGCTGATTTTCAACGGATAAAAGTTTAAAGGGCCAATGGATCAGAGCCATTCGAAGAGAAAAATTTACTCTCACCATAGTGCATTTGCGGGGAATGAAGCCGATTTTAGAAAGGTACCTACGAAGGTGTTAAACAATATTGCAATACCGAGCGTTTTCGACTTTCCCATCCACTTAAAATACCGTAGAACTATTATTCCACATCCTTTACCAGCAAGACAACGGCAATACCTATTTGCCTATTAGGTATAGACGTAACTAAGTACTTACTGGTACTAAGTATATTTCAGGTTTTGTTACAAGAAAAATAGCCAAGTCTGTTAAATGTTCCATATGTGCAGATGCGATATTCGCATCAGAGAGCCATTCAAAGCTTTTAACTAGAAAAAATCGTGGAGGATTGTTGCTCGTATCAAGCGATGCATTAAAAATTTGCCAAATTGCTGAAAGTGTGTTTAGGTTTTTCATTTAATCCACACCACAACGCGTTGTAAACAAAATGGTTATCAGCAGTCTAAGAAAAATAAATAACAGCTACAGCCCATTTGGGTTTTTGGATAGGCATATATTGAATCAAAATCCGCTAAATAATCATATCTTACTACTTACATCTTTAGTTTTAAGAGTATATTTTCCCATACGTGTTCACCACCAAAATACACATATAAATCAAATTAGGACTAGAGTAAGGCAGTTATATACCAATTTAGTTCAAATAAAATACCAGTAAATTCGATTAAAACAGTTAACAGCTATATGTTATCTTTTTTTGCTACTAAAATTTAGAATAAACATGGCTAAAGCAAGCTGCAGAACGTACGTCTGCCCCGCGATGAACAGTTGGTTGCCTATCCTATCTTGACAACAGGCGTTTATAGTAAAATCTACGTTACGCGCGGTCTAGTTATAACAAGTCTCTGTACCTACCTATTCGATTCATATATATAATATATATATGATTCGATTGTGGACTTTTGACATGTGTCCGTTACTAGGTCCGTTATCTATAAATTTCTCAACTTTACTCTAAGCCTGGAGCAAAGATAGTTTTTGCCTGGAAGAATTTGAATGCTGCTTGTAATATACAGGGTGATTCCTATAGTACCTGCCACCGTTTGGGAGCGTATAGGGGGTGCCTAGGGGAGTATTTTGATATAGGACACTTGGGGTCGGAAATCTAAAATAAGGGCGCCAGAACCAAATTTATCTTCTGGAATTTCACGCCTGTATGTAGGCAACCCAACCGACCGACGTTTCGCGCGGAGCGATGCAGAGCGAGTTAGCGCGAGGAAGCGACATGGAAGGGAAGGAGGGAAAACGACAGTCAAAAGCAATAACGTTTACAAGTGTTCAACGTGGCCACCGTTGTTCTCAATGCACTTCCTACATCTAGCCAACTATTATTATACTATTGCCATAGTGTTTATTCACTTGATACGCGTCGTTGCAGACGGGATTTCGTGGGTTTAAACAAAATTCTGATCAAGTGTCAGCCACACATCGCCGCCTGAGATCGCTCCGTGTGCACCGCCGGCCGTTTGGGTTGCCTACCTACAGGCGCGAAATTCCAGAAGGTAAATTTGGCTCTGGCACCCTTATTTTAGATTTCCGACCCCAAGTGTCCTATATCAAAATACTCCCCTACGCACCACCTACACGCTCCCAAACGGTGGCAGGTACTATAGGAATCACCCTGTATACATCGGCCAGCACAGAATATCCGCGGCGAATATACAGTGATATTTATTAAGAAGTAGACATAGGGATTTAAGTGTGTTATTTTCCCCTATGTCTACCTTTTAATGAACAGTAACAATATTCAAATTAATTAATATGACCACTAGATCTTTATTTGTTTGAGGAAGGTATTTTGTATGCATAAAATTAGGCATCCTTCAGAAGAAATATTGTCATTTAAAAGTAGAAATAGGAAAAAACAATACACGTAAATCCCAACCCTATGTCTACTTCTTAATAAATTTCAGTGTATATGTCATATATTATGGACTTCGAATTATTATAGCACAGATTAGAGTGTTTAAATCTGTGATTATATAGTGTCTAAGAGTTCCTTAGCAACAGAATTGGAGGAATGGTTGGCCCGAAATGGCGAGAAATGTACCGCAGTTATTATCGGAGTGATTTTGAATAAACTGGAAGCGTGTATTTGTGCAATTATGTCGTTCATTTTCCTTATACTCAAGACTCCTATACCTATTGGTTAAAGATTTGAAAAACTGCCATGCAGAAAATGTGGCAAATTGTAAATTCGACATTGTATGCAGATATGGTGAAATCGACTTGTAATGAAGTGAAGGTGGGGCAAATGAATGTTAAGAGTGGGCAGCTTTTCGCGCCGCAAACGAAAATTATATGACATTTCAAGGTCAACGAGGTATAAGAGAAAAGTTATAAAATTCACCTACCTACTATACTACTCCTACTAGAATAGTACCTATGATATGCGGCACACATGTGGACACAATGCACAATGTGGAACGAATGGGGAGATTTTATTTTGCCTTTATTTTCTTTTAATTTATCTTTGCATATTTTTATTTTAAAAGGTCGGCCCGATCTTGCCACCCCGAACGGGCCTGTTATGACCTATCTTTTGATATCAAATTTGACTGACTGATTTTATGTAATAACTATTTACCACTTATTACTCGAGAAATCAGCATCCACCCTTAAATCATACATTGTCAATAGGTATAGGCATTGAATTTATAATAAATTCAATGGTATAGGTACCTAAATGATCTAAGCATCCACCACATTCTTGTAATTGGGTGTTAAAACGAAATAGTCTCTTTTACTAAAGGTTTGATTTTTATGAATGTGTACTGCGTACTGTATTATCCGTCAATATGTTGTACGACAATGCATAATATAGTTTGTGTCTACAGAATACCTTGCACCCCATGGAACCCTTTTTCTGTCGCCGCCCATGCTTATTTCGTGTTTAGTTATGAATCAGCTGTTCAAAGTTTCAAACATAACCTCCGGCTGGTTTTTGACTTGCATTGTTTATCATTATTTACTTTTTGCTATATTTTCTGTCTTTTGCAACAAGTGATGTAATTGAGGCAACTGCCTCTTTTTAGCTATTATTAAGCGGCCAAAAATGTAATGGTAATTGTCATGATGAAACTATTACTTATATGCTTTATTATTGTAGTTTCAGTTTGGTATGTTCCGCTTTCTTCATTAAATTCTTTTAAATTGTTCTATTTTGTAGTTTCACGTCGACTGAAGTAAATGAAGCGAAGGTCAATTGTACCGAGCTTAACAACAATTTGGCAAATGCAATTGCATCGTTCTCTAAGTGTGCGATTACTTATTCCAGACCGATTAAGCTTTGTGAGCAATGCGTTAATGAGTACATAGACGTTTCGAATGGTTATCAAAACATGTCGGCGGTAAATTGAAATTTATTTCAATAGCTCTATTCCGAGTATGCAATTATAGACATTACGTGCAAGTTATACTCCTGACACATTGTATCTTCACGTTTTCTTAGATGTCTACTCAAGTTGGTCTCGGTCTCATGAACTATTTATAAGGAAATGCTTTGGGGGTTTGATCTAGGAAAGTACTGGTACTCTCTGGCTGTGCAAACGGTAGTTTCCCAAAAGAAAGTGCCAACAGGGCATTTTTTAAATTATTAAATTGTATTGAGATCTTCCTCTGTGTTGCAATATGGTTGCAATATACATTGCCATCAAAATGAGATAATGCTTGACAATCCTGTCATATCTCTTTCGAGTTCGAGCCAAAGAATTCCTCAGATCTAGTACCTACCAGATAGTGTAAGATCACTGAATATGTTATTTACTCTTTGGTGTAGAGAAGGAACTTGGTCTTGTCTGTTTTTTACAAATTAGGACAACCCTAGTAAATTGTTTTTAATTGACACATCTATCTGTCACTCAGCTCTAATTGAGGCATAGGTACCTACATGTGACATTTAGTGCTAACTGTCTAACACATCAACAATTAGCTCTAATTGAGAGACAAATCTGCTAGTTAATTGACACACTCAATGTATGCTCGCTGTATGTAATTTTGAGTCACATTAATTATTGTGAATGTTTAGTATTGAGGTGCATGTGCCAAAACCAATATGCAATTAAGACTTTGCGCAGCCAAGAGAATAAGTCAGTAACTTATTCTGAGTAATTTGATAACATTTTTTAAAATCATAATTTTTGCTTTGTGTATAATCCCAGATTTAAATATACTAAATTTCACGATTAAATTTAGAGTACTATACCTAGATAATAAAATTGTTTGCAAAACGTAAATTTCAATTTGGTATATTTCCTTTTTACTTATTTACTTTTTAATACTTTTAGTCTAAGGATGAAGATGGAGTGTGTCTGGATGGTTACATTCATCTCGATAACTTGGAAATATTAGAAACTCTGTATGGTAATGCTAATGAATTATGGAACAGAGCAAACTGTGATAGTAAGTATTCATTTTTTTTAACATATAATCACGCGTTCAAAAAGACACCTAACGCTGGTCACTGGTCTACATTATAAAAAATCTAAAGAAATATTAATTACTCAAACTACACTTATTTAAACAACCCAAATAAAGAATTTTCCCAAATGGAGTAAGTCATTATTTTGGACTTGTTGCCTGGGGGCTTCAAGCGCCTACTTTTCTTTACCATAGTCACTTTACACCTTAAAAAATAACAAAAGATTAATTTTGAGGGTGTCTTTTTTATTTGATTTATTTGTGATTTTATTTTATTTTTGTTTATTTATTTTTTTCATTTTATTTTTTTATTATTTAAAAGTTGGTATTTGACGTTCAATCGTAACCCAATGTTTGAACATTGAAGAACGCGAAATAATTTCAGTTTTAATTACAAGAATCGAAATAGAGGTAAAAGGGAACTACTGTGTTTTGGGGTTGTTCTGGACAGTTGCGTAAACGTTTTAAATAGACTAGGCGAGGGAGGTTGGATTTTTCATATATTTCCCATCCATTTAATTATTGACTGACTTCTCCCATTTATACTTCGTCGAATTCCGTCGCTTATTAAATGTTTCCACGCCATAGGTTCAAATTCAAATAATATAGATTCAAAAGAAAAGAGAACATGGACATTAACAGATCTCAACTTACAGAGTGCTTTCAAATGGACAACGGCACATTAACAAACGTTTCATCTGTCGAAACAACAACCTTTAATGTATTATTTACTAACTTGACCGACTGTATCAAACAGCCTGATGTCAACGCAACTACAGTGTGCCAGAATTGTGCGAAGCAATACAATGAATTGAACAAGTTCTACATTGCGATCAGTTATGAAAACAGAGGAGGTGTTTGTATGGATGTCGTCGATGTGGTATGCTTTTAGATTATTAAAATTTGTCACTTTTACATGTGTTTAATTTAGATGAACGGAACTAGAGGATATTGGAGTAGTAATTGCTGCAAATTTAGACATAGAAATGAACTTGGTTTTATTATATCTACTGTTTTTATTTCGTTACTTACAATTTTATTTTATATTTTAACCAAAGTTTGCTCACAGAAGAGGGCTCCAGTTATACTCAAACGTAAGTAGAACAATATTGGTACCTATACAATAACAATAATTTAAACTTTGTTGTAGAAACTAGGTTCTCAGGATCTTTTTGCAACAGTGCCAGTTGATTTAAGTTGTGATATAGTTAAATATTCGAAATGTTTATAATTGAAATAAATATGTTTTTGAAAACAATATAATATTTACAATGTAAATTGGTAATGTGTAGAACTTGCGCGAACACACTCAGAATGTTCTAAAGCATTTCCACAGCAAGACCAGTGCCTTCGACCGGGGTGTCCATCGTGCCCATGACCACAACCTCTGTATCCACCCGGCATTTTTCCCCCACAACCACACGTTGCCTCCTTACTCCCACCACTTGAGCAGAATGTGCAACAGTGAAATGTACCATGATGTGGCCTTAATGTTCTGACCACTATCGGAAATGGATTGTCCTACGAAAGATTTATTATGTAAAAGTTATATCATATTAAAACCTACCTTAATTGGTTGGCCTTTTATCAATACTGATAGAAGTAGTTTCCCTGCCACATCCGGTGTGAACTTGAGGTTGTAAGTACCATTGCGGTTGTCTTCTACTTTTACTTGCACTGATCTGGAAATACCTGCATCGCGATGCCTTAGGTCTGCAATTACAGTCTCGCCGCCTCGTTGCAGTGGTTCATTACTGCTGTCGTATGTTTCTAATGTAACTTCCATTTTTTTTCCTATCCTTATATTTTCTAAACCTACAAAGTAGTTTTTGTTAGTACGTAAGGAAGAATTGAAAATGTTGATATTGAGTCATACAAAAATTATTTCGATTTCGCGTTGTATTTCAACATAGGGAAATTTACATTTGTACCACTTTATGTACGGAAAGTGAACTAAAGTAAGTCTGGCGATAAGCATCAAGAACGTGTTGGGGAAGCACGCGGTGTAGCCATGACGTCTTTGGTCCTAAAATTGCGTCGGTTTCGTTCTGACGCTGCCGGAATGCCGGTTTACTATTGGTGAAAATGGAACGCTGGTCGTGGTCGTTGCGTTCCGTCTTGTTTGCAGTACAGTCGAGCTTACCTAAATACAACCGACACGAAAAAATTGAAGAGATTACTGCTTGACTTTGCTCGCAAGAACGTATCTACCATATTTCTGCGGTTAATGTTATTGAACGGCGAATTTTAATCGCGCGATTGTGAAGGCATTTTCATTTTAATCGTTTTTAGCTAAAAGTTAGTGGATCCTCCTTGTGCTCCATCTCTCTCGACGCGCTACGTTTCTATGACAGGAAACCGCCAGTGCGCATTCAAGCATAAGTGTTTTGCCCGTTTGCACCGACAAATTTAAGCCGAGCTTAGCTTAAAATCCATGGCAACCATTGTCTCAATAATCGTTGCCATGGATTTTAAGCTACGCTTAAGCTAAGCTCCGCTTAAATTTGTCGGTGCAAAGGGCCATTTTATCCGCATGTACAAGTGGAATTAAAGTTTCTTCGCAATTAATACTTACATTAGTTACATTTTAAGAATTTCGGTTAGGCAACACATTTTGCAACTGAAACAATAGCACTATGGGAAAAAAGAAACGCCTTGTATAAGCAATTGTGAAAAGTCATAAACTTTGACTGTTCAAAATTGCCAAAAAAAGTCGGTCGCGGCAAGGCGTAGGTAGTAGGTAACTGGTTTTCGATGGCTTCAGCAAAGTGCACGCGTACAGGATTTCTCAATGTTTATTTGTTTTGTTTTGAAGAGTAATTGCAGATAGAAATCATTTTATTCTTTCTCGTACCTACTAACCATGGTACAATCTACTAACCTAAATTTCTAAATAATATTCTCGGAAGCAAACTTTATTTCAGGTCACGCCGTTGTTATGGGTTAAAATTTTCACTATCGTTCGTATTTACGGTGATGGTTTCTAAACCGGAAATTATCCTGTTTAGCTGATGGTCACCAAAAACTTTTCCTTCCAACTGTTTTTGCTCTGTTTGATTATTATAGAGTGCTACACTAATAAAAACAGTAAGTATGTGATAAATTACATGTAGTCGTTGAAATAACTGCGCTGACTGTTTCATGTTAATTCTTAACACTTTATAAAATTCACGCTACGGGTCAACGCACGGTGGTTGACTTAACAGAGTACTGGTGGCTCACGCGTACAGAGGGTGGTTCAAATTCGTTCGTGTCAATGGAATCTCCGTAACGGTAAGATATACAGCGTGGTGTTAAGCGCTTCTGAGGTAGATAAAAGCAGAAGCAGGTTGCTTTCGGAGTCTTCTCGAAAAGTCTAGAGAGTATATTATATTTCACAGAAAGAATGAGTCACATCCGCTTTCATTCATTTATGGACTTGATGACGCCTTGGTATCGCTCTAGAAGATTCGCCACACTATGACTACGAATGCGTCAATTTAATTTAAATTCTTACCTTTAAGATAGTGTAAATACACCGATCTGCGTAATATATAACCATTGAATAACGAAATCAGATCACTCAACACGGAATAACTATCAGTAGTCATAGCATTGCGTTCTTTCTTGTATTTGAAACGCGATCATATTCTTAACAGAAGCTTTCCCAGCTTCAGAGGTACTTAAAACTATGTCACATACAACTAACTCTCTTAGTGGCATATGTAACGGGAGCCCTTTAACGTATTTCTGTGCTTAATTCGCGTAGAGTCGCGACCTGCAGATTACCGTGAGGTTATAAGTAAACTACCTGTAAAATTAGCACAGGGTGATTGGATATATTGGCGAGGCACTCGAATGATCGAGAGTGTATTTTTTTTACGGAGAAAGTTTGTGCGTCTACGGTAGCGAAGTTTTAGGCCCGGTTCACACGTTGCCGCACGCGCGTGTGTAATTACAGTACCGCAGCGGCGCCGTATGTTTAAAAACCGGACGTGTGCACCGGGCCTAAGTAGGTACGTGTAAATTAAGAGGGTGAAATTGGGAATTGAGGTTTTTGGTGATCCTCATTTATACGAGATAATTGACGGTTTAGAAAATATTACGTTAAATACCTAGGGTCAATACAGTTGAAATGCGAAATAGCGGATGTTGTTATACTTGAAAACTTAAAAAAAGTCAAATTATATAAATAATACACATAGAGATAATGAAACTGATGCAGTCATTATATTAAAATCAACCCCTTCGTTGGCGATGTTTGTTACATCACGTTAATTTTAAAATTGCTTACACTGTTAGAGTACCTACCTATGCTTGAATTTAACAGTGAGTAGCGTGGTAAAAGGAATGTAATATGTTGTACATAATTAATACCGGAAAATAACTGATCGATTTATAAGAAAATATTACTTGATTACTTTAATCGTGCAATTATGTTTTTTAAATAGGTACCTACATTGAAAAAACAAGCCAATAAAATTTCAAGTATATAAGTAGGTACGATTAATACCTAGTAAAAACATTAAAGAATAATTAAATGACGGTTAATTCCCGTCCTGTAAACAAAATTTTATGGAAGTGATAAACAAGATTGATGCCAAGTTCCGAAAGGTGTCCTACGTGTCTGGTATCAGGGTAAACACGAGAAGCGGTCATTAGTGCTTTTCTATAAATTTTGGCTTCGGTCTCATTCATGTTACTGTATTCTATATTAAGTATTAGGAAAGGTATAGGTAACGGGGTGATCGTCTATTCGTATCACAGTAAAATGTCGGGACAAGTATCTGATGCCAAGCCAATTTTGACAAGGATTTCTGTAGTTCCAAAAAATTCGTCCCATCTTAGTGATTCACCAACCTTGATGGGTGCTGCGTATTCTACTACGCCTGTAGGTAAGAACAATACTTTGCTTAGATGTGTAGTTTATTATTGGTTCATTTTATTTTGAAACAATTTGTTTCATTTTGGGTACGTAATTTTGAGAAGAAAACAAATATTGCAGAAACGCACCAGAAGAGGAGCCTAAATCACCCCCGCAATAAATTCTTAAGGAATTAAAATGTGCATCCTCAATCAAGTGGCCACTTGTTTCAAAGTCTGCCAATCAGAGAAAACTTTATGTCCGTCACAGTTTCCCTATAAGAACAAGAGGCAAACAACGCACACTTTTGACTATATTTCTCGTATTTCAGGTACAAAAATGGTATATGAAAGAGCCGTCATAATGAATTTGCGCAACTCTCCAATCTCAAACACGCCGCCGAATTGGAAAATTCCGCAATCAATAGCAATAAATCATGGATCTTTGCAGTGTATTGAAAAGAAACATAGTCCGTCTAAAAGAATTTGCGCCGAGAAGAGAAATGCGGACTTTTTCGGTCAATTTGCAGACGATGCCGAACAATTCGACATGGAAATGTAGTTATTTAATTTTTTATAAATCAAGTGCAATAGGCCATGTTGGTGTCATAGATGGCTTTCTAACATTTTATAACCACCTTGTATTTTTACAAATTTTTATAGGCTTTTAAACGGTTAGCATTAATTATAAAGTGTGAATACCAAACATGATCATGTCATTTGTCAACGATGATTTCATGAAGCTTCCCCCTACCCACTCCATTACCAAATTTCCCGAAGCTACCCCTACCCACTCCCGTTAATTTGTGGGTACTTAATTTTGTACGCAGGGTCAAAATCTACTTGGGATTGTAATTAATTTAACCCCACAACTTCAATCACAAAAAAACAAAAGTGGAAACTGTTAGATTTCACAGCGCCACCCGCCATATCGGACAAATTTCCTGGAAATTTGAAAATTTCTCCGATAGGTATTATCGCATGATTATGTTGTTGTGCGCGGGTGCACCATCCTGTTGAAACCAGCAGTTTCCATTTTTTGTGTACATTTTTTGTGTAGGTACATCGTTGTATCGTAATAAAAAATGCTTTTTTACGAGTCACATAAGAAATAAAGTTGATGATGGACATTGCTATACTTATCGGGAAAATTAGTAACTAAAAATTTTAAAAATGATGATTAACCAAAGTGATCAGGTGGATATGTTTGGTTTCCGTTGTGATATTTATGCAATATCGTACACCAATAGCTGATTAATACCACGATGGTTTAAAGTAACATACAATGAAAACTGCAAATCGAATGCACACCAGAGGCAGGCGTCACAGGCAGCCTTCAAGTTTTGTTGCTTTATGAAGAGATACCCCCATGAATTATTTCCTGAAACGTTGTTTCGGAAAGTAAAACGTACGTAA